CAAATTAAAGCACACCAAAGCTGAAGTGGAAAACTGGTGCATTATATGAATTTTATGTTATAATTATGTATTTGCAAACATANTAAATAAATATATATATATATATGTGTGTATGGTGAAACCATACACCTGCTAAGTGCCACACATATGATCTCACTGGTGCAGCAGGAAACTGTATCTGATATCTGACAATTCTGCATTTGTTTCAACATGAACGGTGTATGTGGCAGTGTACAAGAAAATTCAGAACCACTGTGAACACTTCCAACTGATAATTCTGTACATTTAAACATCATTAAACTATTTAACAGCACCATGACAGTACACTATGGGGCTTGGTCAGTGAAAATAAAACATTGCAACTATAAATCTGACACATTTGGCACTAGATGGAGGTGAGTGGTCCACTGCACGCCCCTGCAGTCCCAAATTAGATTCAAATACTATTGCAGAATATTGCAATTATTTTTATAGTATTTTCTATTTTTTTTTTAAGCATGCAAATAATGTATTATATCAGATGTGCCAGTTTGTACTCTTGATATGGAGATATTGAACGAGGTATTGTTCAAGTTTACTTCTAATCTAGACAGGGCAATATGGCCTGGAACCATTTCATTAAGTACTGAAGTTAAATTTCATCAATGCCGTGCAATGAATGTTGCCAATACAAAACTATAGTACATAAAAACCTACTCAGCATTTTTCTTCAGACTTCAAATTTGAACAGAATTCCAACTTCATATACAGTTTCGATTTCTAACTGTGAGTTCACACCTTCACGCACGCACGCACACATACACGGCACACACACAAAAAACTCACCTTATACATGAAAACCAATGACCTCTCAAACGCATTATTTACATCTTCATATGAGGGATCCGTAATGCAGCGTCCCTTGATTTGTCTCCTTCGAAGACCAAGATAACTGTACCACAATTTATAGCTGGGAAGAAAAATACAATTTAAAATATATGCCTGGAGCAATTAGATTTATGTTAATTAATGTAAAGACAACTTATAAAGAGCAGAAAACACCACCACATAGGGATAAAGAAAACTGTGGTACCAGAAGAGAAAGAATATATTGGTACTAACTTGTTACCACACTGTAATAAATTATCTTTAACTTGTTACCACAATGTAATAAATTATCTTTAATAAAAGAAATCAATGAAAGAATTCTGTTTAACTTAGTCTCTGTATTATAAATTTATCTGGTTTTTAAAGCATCACCCGTAATCTGCAAATTCCACAACCATTGAGAGTTTAATGTATCTGCCTACTTCTATGTCACAATATTTCATTACCACAGTTTATTTTAATGACTTATTAAATATTTCAGTCAGCATTTGCTGGATGGGTTAATCATGTAATGTGAGACTGCAGCCTACAAAGGAATATGATGTTACCTTAATATATATAAATGGGAAAATAAATTGACTGTATAAATATGTTGATATTGTCTGAATGAAAAGCCAATATGATAGTTTTAAATGAAGTTTAAATTTGGGTTGCTACTGGATACTAGCAAATTATTACAAACCACACCTACTTGCAAACTTGTCAACAAATCAACACTTTCAAATGCATATCTGGTAATAAACAAAGCAAGTAAAATTAAATTATACATTAAAAATTCTTAATGTGAGTGTACTTCATTACTATGTACTAGTGTCAAGACTTTAATCAAAACTTACAAATCAAGACCGTAACATTATTACCCCACATCTACCGAGCTTCAAAGGCAGATTTTTGAACACCAATTTTTTCTATTTAATTTAGAAAATATTTACAATCTACTCTCGATAATATGGAGCAATAAGTAAATTTGTTCTAAGTATGTGCCTTGAGTAGAGAAGTCATACACTGATGATACTCTTGACAGGCCCTGTCGAGGAAAGGTGATGGTTTTAATTTTCATCATCTGTGGGCTGCGGTAGGTCAGACAGCCACTGTCTCCTCAAACTTCTTACATTTGGTGGGTTGCTAATTTCTACATGTAGTCTGTTATTGTGTCTGAGTATGCTTTGATGGTAGATTGTTGACAATCTATGTATTCCTTCTATGACAAATGGGATTTGCAGTTCATTGTGGAGACAAAAAAAGTTCCTTAATTACTGAGTGCAAGCATTTGGATTGAAATCTTTGAATTTTTTTTATGTTTGATGGTTTTGTACAGCCCCATAGCTGAACACCCTAACTTTACCAACAGAACCTTGTTGAAATTGTGCATTGATCACTGTTTATACATTGTTTCTAGTGTTCAAGGACAGAAGATGCCAATAAAGAATATAATGAGGAGGACAGAAAAGTTTCTGATTAAAAAAACACATTTAATAAAACAGAAGATCATTACTGAATTTCGCACAATATAACTTTTTCATCAGAAGCCCATTACATTCCTTAATTATCTCAGAACAGGCATCAGTTTTCTTTTTGTTTTTGTTTCATGAAAAAATTCCCTGTGTTTATTTAACACTCATACCTTCCTGGTAACTCCTTCAGGGCTCTTTCAAAGATAACATTAACAGTGTGTTCAGGACTCTCCTTCTTGTGTTCAATGTATCGCAGCCAATGCCTCACAGAAGGCTGATTCCGAGGCATTTCTTCATTTGAGAAATCTTCCATCATTCTAAGAGACACAAATGTACAGAAATTGAATATGTAAACATGGAGGAAACATGCATTCGAAACATAGTACACATTACATTCTCCTCACAACACAGATATAAATAATGATGATTTGTTACTGTGCAAGAACTAGCTCCATTTATGATCCTGCAGTCTGAATGGCAGTCAACTAGTGCTACAGTTTCTCTCAAGCACTTAAAGCAAGCACATATGAGGCTACTAGACAATCAATCTACAGTGACACTAAGAGATAACAAGAAAATCAAACCAAACAACCCCATGGAGAACAACGCTTCACAAGAAAGTGACAGTTTACTCAACTGGTCAAATAATTCTCAACTTTCTATGGAATATGAAGATTAATTACCCTCACAACATCCTATCAATGGATCCCATCCCAAGCCAAATGAATCCAGCTCACAAACTTATTTCTTTTAAGATTAATTTAATTTATGTAATATCAAGTCCCATCTATGCCTGAGTCTCCCAAGTCATCTCTTCCTTTTAGGTTTTCCAACAAGAAAATTTAACAGTCCTAATTTTTTCATGCATGCTACATGTTCCCACCTTGATTTGATCACACTAACAATATCTGGTAAATAACATAAATAATGTTCCTCATGCCGTTACCTCTTCTTTCCTAAGACCAAATAAATATTCTCCTCACCATTTTGCTTCCAAACACCTTAAATCTTAGTGTGAGAGACCAACCTTCACAGTACTCAACCATCAGCTTCAGGGTACATTAACAGTGAAAATGTTCACATAAAAGCAATAAGAGTGATGATGGTAATACAGCTTATATATCCATCTTCTGCTAACTCTGAATGGGGTTTGTTGACTTGTTCAGACATGACATAACATAACATAACCTGAACTATGCACAGTCCTACCCATACAATCCAAATACACAATTTTTGGAAGCCAGAAACCTAAAAGAAAACTGAGGATACTCAACGATGGTTTCAAACCAAAGAGGATCAAGTACACCTCATGTATGATATAGCTAAAGCTGTCCTTGTGCTTCAATAGGCCCATACTATACATACAGAGAAGTAGCGTTACAGCTTCACGCATTCATGACCTCAGCACTAGACAGATGTGAGTGAACAGCTTCATGCCCCTACCACTTTTCCCCCAGGGAATGATCCCTATGTACCCAGTGCATAAGGACACATTTGACCCCATAATCAGCACGACTACTGCGAGCAACAGAAAAATTCCTGCCTCTGCCAGAAATCGAACCCCGGCTATCCAGACCAGAGGCCTGTCACTATACTGAGTTGGTGAATCTCCCCTAACAAGGGAAACTGATTTAACCACTGAAAGCGTAATTTAACCAAATGAATAAACCACAACATATCTACATATATATCTAATTTACACCTAAATACTGCCTCGGAAATATGGAATGCTTAATGACCAATGTTATTTCATTAACCAAAGTAGGTTAATCTGTTAAATACAAACATAAGAACATGTGATAACAAAGTGGATAATTTTCAGTCCAGTGTGACATACAAGTTTACAACACTTCAGTTTTTATTCACCTTACATGTTTCGATTCAAAAGAATCATCCTCAGAGGCGTACCACTACGATCAGGAAACACTGTCACATAAGATGTTTTGACAGTATGCACTTGAGGTAAGAACAATGCTCACTATATACATTTTTGTTATTATCACAGTTGATTTGATGTTTGCCTTAAGCTTCGCGACGATGCTTCTTGAAGTGTAGAGTTACGTATGACGCTGCTTCTTTTAAGCGTATTTTGCGGGGTATTCTGATTGGGATTTCCCACTGCACGCGATATGATGTTCACTTTTTCACACAGTATATTCCATATGTATTCAAAATTGTATTAAAATTTCTTTTGTATGTAAAAAAATAGTTATTATATTAAAATATCATGAACCAACATTGGGTCATGTTGTTTTCCTCCTGGTGATGGAATATGTCGTTTAATTCTCTTGATTGTATGTTCTTTTGTTAGTCGTGTAGTTTACGTGAGTGCTGTCAAGACGCGTCGTCGCGAAGCTTAAGGCAAACATCAAAGTAACTGTGATAATAACAAAAATTTATATAGTGAGCATTATTGATAGCTTAAGTGCATGTTGTCAAAACATCTTATGTGAGTGTTTCCTGATCGTAGTGGTACGCCTCTGAGGATGATTCCTTTGAATCGAAACATGTAAGGTGAATAAAATCTGAAGTGTTGTAAACTTGTATGTCACACTGGACTGAAAACTATCCACTTTGTAATTGATGGTGTGACAGATCAAAATGAGAGAAATCAAATTAACATGCGCTAACAAATTATACTTACGGAAATAAGCCCAATGTCACCTTGTTCTTCGTATGAAAGCATATTGCCGAAAATTACGTCATTCAACCATACATTTCACACACACAATTATGATACAAAACGTTGGCATAAACTAACACTCACCCTGCCTTCACCTTCAAAACCATGGTTGCCAACATATAATGCACGGATGGCAAAATAAATATCATACCTGTCAATTAATGTCCCCGCAAGTATAGTTCGGTGAGCATCTATGAAAGGATGTCGTATGAATTCATGGTTGACACAAAATTCACGGTGGAAAGGTATAATTTAATAGCGTACCACTAATGTATTGTAGGCTGGGATAGCGACTAGCTACGGCCTGGACGGCCAAAAGGTCAGAGTTCGAGTCCCTGTTGGAACAAAAATTTCCCTTTCACCATATCATTTAGACTGCCAATGGGGTCCACCCAACATCCTATTCAATGGGAACCAGTGGGCGCTTTCCCGGGTGGTAAAGCAGCCGGGGCGAGAATCTGTTCACTCACCTCCAACTAGTGCCAAGGTCAAGACAATGTGGATGTATACACCCACACACACATTTATGGCATAGTGGTTAGTTAAGCACAGGAACAACTTTATCTTACTATTATATTTCGATATCAACAACCTTTGAACACTGGCATACCACTGGTCTGGATTCTATTGTGTAGAACTACTAGTCTGTCAATCTATCATTTCACAAGTCCTCGATCACGATTTACTGAAATAAATTTCCTGAACTCTTACCACCCCTTACAGACAGCATCAGAGCCATCAGAGCTATGAATGGGAGAGAAGCTTCTGAGTTTTTAGTTGTCTCCACGCGAGATTCTTGTTACATGGCCCCAGAATTTCACTTATATTCCTATGCTCTAATCAGTGGACCTATTGCCCACACTCCATCACTGCACAAATAAAACGACACCCAACTTGTCTTAATATCACAATCTACCTTTTAATAGGATCCCTGCCTTCAGCTACTTGATGCTGTTCTGCTGACATAACCAGCTGCCTTTGATGTTAATAATACAGCCAAGAGCCAGCAGGCTTCAGTGTTACTCATTCAAGTCAATGTTTCACAAGTATGCAATGAACTCGATTAGAATAACTGCTTATTTTCTGTCAACAATTAGTAGTGTATACAGTTTCTCTGTCAACAATAAATAAAGTACCTATACAGTATGACCTCACATGCTGTTACGACTGAAACTGGCTAACCCAATCTACTGTTCACTTTTCAAAACACAAAAAGCATCGTCTTTCATGAAACACAGCCACGGACATTCACTCAGATAAACAGCAGAAACACTGTGTGGACTCGTGTGAAACAATTTCCAGGATCAGGGTAACAAGAACAACAAAAATTTGTATAAACTAAGATAAAGGAAATTACATAATTTTATGCTATAGTAAATTTCACACTACTTAATGGTTCCAAATGTTATAATGACTCTGGAAAACGGTGTAAATACATAACCAAAAGCCATGGTACTGATATGTATATGTGATGAACCCAGCCTTTGTTGTAGTATCACATGCTACTAAAAGCTGAACTTGATGGAAGTGTGTGGTTAGCTTCATGTTCTAATCACTGCACTCCAAGGAAGAGATGGAGACATAGGAATAAGGTATGGTTGATGTTAATATCTTGATGACCAGCAGTGTAATACCACATACTGTTTCAAGTATGTACACTCTCATATATAAAATTAAATGTGTGTTTTGATGTTCATTTATATCTTCAAAATTAGAGGTCCCATCTATTCCAGTGTACACAGAGTCTTTCCAAGTGGCATGAAGAATTCTGAGATTATCATCAAGAATTTCTTAATGCCATGTCAATGCATACATGATATAGCATGCCTATACTCCCAGAAAT